ATTAAATTATTTTAATTCAAAAATAAACTATGTCAAAAGGCATGAATATTGCAAATTTCATTCTTTTTTTTTTTCATTTCCTAACTAAGAGGTCGTTTACCCAAATGCTTATCCGATAAGTGCTTATAAGGAGGAGTCAATCTATTTTACCATGTAAGATTGTAGTATATTAAAACGGTATCATATGCAACAATTTATCCGGTAAAAAGCTTATACGGGTAAGAGTCGTTATCATCACTTACCGGGTAAGACTCTCTATCCTTATCATTGCTCTTACTGGGTAAAAATTTTGACCCTTGCCATATTCATCAAGTGAGGAAAATTACCCGATAAACACTTACCGGATAAGTGTTTAGTAAACGACCCTTAAATTTATTTGTATTTTAAATTTTGATTATTTATCATCAAACAAATATGTTTTTTTTTTATATAAGTCTAAGTTATTGCCCATAAATTTTGTAATACCCTTTTTTTTAAATCATAAACAACTGATACCTTATTCAACTTACTAATCTTTATAAAAATAAATAAGTATCATTATGATATGCAATGAAAAACTTACGACTCAGTGATGAAAGTTTTTACAACTAGAATTGAATGTCTAAACATATCAAGTTCATCTTATATCGAATGAAAGACAAGAAACAAAACCAAAAGACCGAAAACAACATAACATAACCACAAGGGTGGTGTCTGATTGGTATAAGCTTGGGCTCCAAAAGTCAAAAGTTCCTAGAGGTCCCAAGTTCGAATCCAGGGAAGAATAAAAAAAATCCCCTTGTGGCCATGAAGGTTCAAATGCGGTGACTTCGGGCTACCCGCAAATAGGGTGGTCGCGCTGGGATTAGTCGGTTCGCATAGCGGGTTGGATATCCAGGTTAATAAAAAAAACAATATAACATAACTGCAATCAACTAAGTATAACAAATCTAGACATTTCTCTTGCTTTTGTTTCCTTGTTATGTTCACCTTTGTCTACTTATGACGCTCCTGTTCCTGTTCCTGAGATGTATGCGATTATTCAGCTAATAAGTTTAATGGGTTCATGGTTTCGTACAACAAACCTATACTAAAAACGTTGGCCATTCAAAACATTATCATGCATATAAATTCATGAAAACATGCTCGTATTTACCAATGACGATACTGATAATAAAAGATGCAATTTCGTTTGAGATACATGCTCTACATATATGATATAGATCTTTTTAAAGTGTGGTTTAAATGAGTTTGCCCAATTTAGGCCGATCCGACCTTAATAGACTGAACATGTCTCCGCCTCCTTATACTGTATCACTGGCATCATTGTAAATGAACCACACACATAAAAAGCTCATTTGTTTCATGCATAACACTAAAACATATTGATTTGCATGCAATATGCTAACACAGATTAATACAAAGCCAGATACATAAGATGCATAACTCCTTTTTGATATATTGAACACATATAACACATCGAGATATATATATATATATATGTGTGTGTGTGTGTGTGTGTGTACATCTCATTTAAAGCACATGAAATTCACCAATAGGTTTGATATCGACTTCTAACCTATCACCATGATACTTAACTTTTACAATTAAATTGACCGAGCCAATTTGTCCTTCCTAGAAAGTCAATACGACCCCTACGTACCTAAAGCTCGCTTATAGACTCACTTCTAGCGAATGTGACGTTAGACGACTCAATTGCCCTTGACTCACACGCCCACTAAATGTATGCATGTTTCACCGTTTTTTTTTTTTTTGTAACTTTATTTTTAATGTGTTATTTTCTTCGAATGTTTTCTTAATTGACCTTCCAACAACAATCTTGGCATCCAATTATTGTTTCCTATTTGTTATTTCAATGTTAAAATCATATTTTATGAATCAAATAATAAATACTTATATATAAAATCCATCTATAAATACAAATATATTTGAAAATGTTATCATGTTTGGTTGACTTTTCTAAAAAGTAATTAGCCATCAACACAAGACAGACGAAATCTGTTGTTTTTTTTATTAACTCGGATATCCAACCTGCTATGCGAGCTGATTAATCCTAGGGCGACCACCTACTTTGCAGATAGCTCGGAGTCACCGCATTTGAACCTCCGTGGCCACAAGGGGATTTTTATTCTCTCTTGGATTTGAACCTGTGACCTTCTGGTACTTTTTGACCTTTGGAGTCAAGTTCAACCAATCAGACATCACTCTTGTGGTTTGAAATATGTTGTTTTACTGTTAACTGTATTAAAATTGTATAAAATATGTTGTGCTCGTTAAAAAGAAATTATATAAAAATATGATATGTTTGATTTACAGTATAATATATTAAGTAATGACGACATGTATGTCTCTGTTATATTGAAAATATTATTTGAATTTGTTTATTAAAAAATATTAATTATTGTCAATAAATGGAAAAATCGTTTTCGCTAATATAATTGTTTATTTGTATGTATATCGAAATAAAAATAGTGACGATAAAATAAAAATAAAGTACAGTTTTTAATGCATAAAACTATAAAAAAAAGTTAACACATTTTATAATAACGAAAGGTAGTATGTGTCAAGCAAGGATCAAAACGATAATCACACATTGCAAAAAAATTTACGTTGGTGTTTGAGTTCGTTTGCATGTATCTTGATTAATTTTAGGGTCCTGAAGAACAGTCAGGAAAATCCTTAGTGATTGTGCAAGACTCGAATTAATGACCTTTAATATATTTATATATACTCGTGTGATGCAGCGAGATACATCTTGATTTTAATATTTTATTTTATTCTTTATTTCAGTCGATGTTATAGTATGGTCTTATGTGATTTTGAAAAGGCGATGATGTTTTTATTTTTTATATAATATAAACTTGAAGATATCATAAAAATTTGACAAAAATATATCGATAATAGTATCAAATTAACTATTTAAAATTTTTATTTTTTGTGTAATTTTTTAATTCAATTTTTTTTATTATAATTTAATTTAGGTTCAATAACGAAATAATTTATATTTGGTTTGATATAATTTTCTTATAAAGATAATAATTATTTATTTTGTTAGAACTCAATAATTATCCTAATTATATTTTAGTTTTTTTTTATATTTTAAAATGAAATATTTATTCTCTATTTGATTATGTTTATCCGCAGTTAGTTACACAAATTCAAACATGGAGCTTTAATAAGTTGTACTTATGTAAAATTTACTTGTAATCTTGAATTTTAAGTAATATGCATCAATATACAGTACTTCATGCATAAAAAAATGGTTTTTAAGAGTTTTTGTCAAATGTTTTATAATATAGTACACATATATATTGGGTTCATGTGAGACCAACCTATATTCGTGAGACCACTTTTTTACACGTTAAACTTCACAGCAAAACGTTGTAAAGATAAAAAAGCCAAACCTTCACAACAAAAACATCATTCACAATGTTTGAAGGGTATTCTACTGTAAAGTTTCAAGTGTAAAAAATGGTCTCACAAATCTCACAAAAACAAACTGATCTCACGTAAGAAAGACAAAATACAATTTATAGGGACTCTCAAATTGCTATTAGAAGCATCCCAAGATGTTGGAGAAAACATAGCCCCGATTAAATCTCCTTTTCAATCAATTATTAAATCATTTATTGTTTTTGAAAAACAAAAAAACAAATTATGTTTTAATTTTATTGAATGTTATCGAATCTAATTATAGAATAGATTAATAATGTAATTTCAATCTTGTTTTATAATGGTTGACCCTCTACATTAATTGCTTTTTAGGGTGTTTGTTTAGCTATTAAATTATAAAGCTGTACATATTAAATTTTAAGGATGCTCTGAGATACTAGAAAATATGAATGATATCAACAAAAAAAAAGTCAAAATTAACCAAAGACCAAAAAAAAAACATCGAATCAACTATAAAAACCGAAAAGCTTCTTCGAAATAAACCGAAAAACTAAAAATAACTCAAACTCGACAAAAAACTGATTTTTTCTATCAGCTACTAACAACTTCGGATTTACGCCTAAGATGTAGTTTTGTGTCTTGTTCAAACGGTTGATTTCATGTGAAAATATATATTTTATTCTCCAAATCGACACAAATTGACTTTGCCAAATCAAATCGTATTGACTTTTTCACATGATAAGAAAACGTGATTTCACGGAATTTTAATCCATCTTAAAGGTACATCCGTCAGGGAAAAGTTATGGGTTGCCAAAGAGTCGTTTATTTCACCATCGCTTAGAGTTGATTTGATTTTGCATTTAGTTGTTGGTTTCTCTATTTAAAATGCTAAGTGTCTTCTCTTCAAGCTTATCAAATTAAGTTGGTGTTTTTTTCTTCTTCTGACTATGGTTGCATACCGGGTCAGTTTATGCATACATTGACCAATCACAAAAACCATGGAGAACAGTCTGAAAAATTCCAATGATGTTGCAGGACTCGAACTAATGATCTGTAGAAAAATTCCCGAAATGATCGAGTTTTATTGTCAATTGAACCAATAAGGGACTGTTAGGTAGTTGCTGAATGGTTTAGTGCAGAACGATTAGGTGGTCAGAGTGATTAAGAAGCTCTTATGATATAATGCAAAATGAAATATAATTGTTTGATAATTTGTTACAATAAAATTAGGGCGCCGGGAGGCTCAGGATGCAAAATCATTCAGAGGATTTTAGAACTATTAAGATGATTTTTTTTTTGTCAAACAAGATTCACCTCTTAATGATTCAAATATTATATCTTAATGAAACTATTATGAGGTAAATAAACAACCCCTAAATTTGTATTTGTTTTCATATAGACATGTAGATTTTTTTTGTCCAATTCAACATTTATTTGTAAATTTGTATTAAAAAAATTATTTATTTTAAATTAACATATTATTAATTCTAATTAGCAACTTGTATATTATTTAATTTATATCTATCACAAGACAAGTGTCTATATATCTGAAAACATCAAGAAGACCAAAGTACAAATCCATAACCACCTGCAACCATCAAGAAGCCATGGCTGCCTGCAACACCACCAAGCTTCTAAACCTCATCTCCATTACCTTCTTCTTCATAGCTTTCTTCTCCACCAAAACCCTAGCTCAATGCGAAGAAGCAACCAACAATGCCTGCAACAACAAATCCAAAGCTCTGCCATTAAAGCTCATCGGCATTGCTACAATCCTCATAACCAGCATCATCGGCGTCTGTCTTCCTCTCATCACCCGTTCGATCCCCGCCCTCAGCCCTGACCGGAGCCTTTTCGTCATCGTTAAAGCTTTTGCCTCCGGCATCATTCTGGCCACCGGATTCATGCATGTCTTGCCGGATTCTTTCGATATGTTGAGGTCCAGTTGCTTGGCTGATAACCCTTGGCATAAGTTTCCGTTTACTGGTTTTGTGGCTATGTTATCTGCTATTTTTACACTTATGGTGGATTCCATGGCTACCAGTATGTATACCAAGAAGAATAACTCCGTCTTCGCTGAAGGTGGTGATCAGGCTGCCGGCCGCAGCGGAGACCATGAGATGGCGGTGGCGAGTAGTGGTCATGGACACCATCATAGCCACCACCATGGTGCTCAAAAGGGACCAATTGGTTCACAATTACTACGTTATCGCGTTGTTGCCATGGTTAGTCTTCTACTCAATAATAGATTCAAAATTTTGTTTTGATTTCGAAGTTTTGGAAGTTCTTAATTGGATGTAAATATATATATATATATATATATATGTATGTATGTATGTATGTATGTATAGGTGATGGAGCTTGGAATAGTGGTTCACTCAGTTGTAATTGGACTGGGTGTTGGAGCTTCAAACGACATCTGCGTCATCAAACCATTGATTGCAGCTCTTTGTTTCCATCAAATGTTTGAAGGCATGGGTCTTGGTGGTTGCATCCTACAGGTATAGAGATTATATTAGATTAGAGTTTCATATTAGTTGTACTTGATCATTTTAAACTTGAAATCATGTAAGATAAGACTGTTTTCATGAGACACGTGAGACAACATTTTTACACTGTGAAACCTTCACAATGTTTTTGCCGTGAAGGTTCGACTTTCTTTTAACTTCACAACATTTTGTTGTGAACTTTCAGGTGTAAAAATGTTGCCTCACGAAGACAGACTAATCTCACGTGAATCCAGCCCTACAAACACATACTCACACACACTCATATATATATATATATATATATATATATATATATATACTCACACAAACTTACCAAAGGGTCTTTGGCCTAGCGGTATCGTAGCCCTTGACCTTTTAGGAGGTTAGGGGTTCAAACCTCATCATAAATAAGGAGGGTGTGTGAGTTTATTTGTTGCATTTGCCGTATATAAATATTATATACTTAAAAAAAATCATATATATATATATATATATATATATAAGTTAGACTTGATCTTTTTACTTTATATATGTTGAATTCTACATTTTATGATTCACATCGTCTCTTTTAAAAAGTAATATAAGAGGGTTTGAAATATTCTCACATATAATATAAGCATACATTTATCACTCTAAGAATGCAATTTGTACTTGTCTAGGTGGGCCTCACCTATCTTGCATACCCCTTTAGACATTTTGGGATTGTCGTTACAACAAAATTGGGTTTATAGGACACTTAAAATGTTTAAGCATTCTAATAACTTATTTCATAGAACTTAAGTTTATATGATCAAATTATAAAGCGTCATATCAAAAAATATCACAATAGGTTTATGACGCTTATAAAATAAAGTATCGTATTAGTTATTTTATAGGACACTATTTTAAAAAACTCATATAAATACAAGTGTTTGATAAAAAGATGGATTCATAAGACATCTAAAAAATGTCCTATAAAATGATTAAAACGATACTTTTTTTAAAAGCATCTTAAAAAACTTGTTAAAACGAATAAAAATGTATTATAAATCTATTGTAACACTTTTTGATATGAAGTTTTATGGTTGGTCCTATATGCCGAAGTCCTATAAAGTACGTTATTAAGACGCTTAAAAATTTTAAACTTCCTATAAACTCAGTTTTGTTGTAGTGTGTGTCCATCTGTCTAGCCTCAATTGAAGGGGCATGTTAGAGTTCCATGTTGGCTGGACTTGAACCATTTATTTTCCAATATATATTAGAACCTTCGTTTTCTTCTCAAATGCTCTTTTCGAGAGCAATCTAATATGATGACACATATTCTTATAAATGTCATTTGAATGATTATTATAATTGCATTTGGGTAACAATATTTGGTTTAATGAACTTGCAGGCTGAATACAAGATGATGAAGAAAGCAATGTTGGTGTTTTTCTTTTCGATAACGACTCCGTTTGGGATTGCGTTAGGGATCGGGTTAGCAAAGACGTACAAGGAGAACAGCCCAAGCGCGTTGATCACCGTGGGATTACTCAACGCTTCTTCCGCTGGTCTCCTAATCTACATGGCTATGGTGGATCTTCTTGCGGCTGATTTTATGGGTCCGAAACTTCAAGGGAGTATTAAGCTTCAACTTAAAGCGTTCTCGGCGGTCTTGCTAGGCGCCGGGGGGATGTCTGTAATGGCCAAATGGGCTTAAAAACCAACAACTTAACCATCAAAATCCAATTGATTCTTCATTTAGGTTTTGAAACTCTTATGTCGTGATGTATCTAAGTTTAATTGTTGTCCCTATCGTTTTGTATAACTCCATGCCACGATATTAATTGTTGCTTCTTTGACGTTAAACTTAACAATCAATGTGTATGTGATCGTTTTGTTTTATGCAAATTCCGGGATTTATTGATATGTCTTGTATTATTTAGACAAAAAGTTGATCACTGACAACTCTAACCGGTCTCATACGGAACACGTTTCCAAGGACACCCATGTGAAGGAACATTTTTTGGCTCATCCAACGGCTAAGACGCGAACCATTAAATTTGTACCCTACTTTAAAATACTTTTAGAAGAAACTAAAATAAAAACATATACTTTTTTTTAACTCATTTCCTAAATTTTAAGGGTGGCTACCGTTATCAAATTCAAAGGTATTCCCAAAGTACAGACGTTTACTCCACGTTGTATCAACCATTAAATTTGTACTCGACTCATCCCGTTTTTGTATTGTTCGTTGCTTCAGACACCCTTCTTTCTTCACGTTTTCCGATCCTCCCTCCATCGCCTTCTTTCTCCATCCTTCTTGTAAGAAACCATAATCTTTACTTCACTGCAAATGCGGAATCTTGGTCCAAATTTTTACCCACACATCCCAACTGCTCGATGAAATGCCTGAACAATGGTGTCATCTATCGCCTCCTCAACTGTGCATCACTTAATTTCCCCTGTGGTTTCTATTCTTGGGTTGGGATCTAATTTCAAGATTAGGCCCCGAGTTTCGTTCTTGTCGGTGAAAAAGGACTGCGTTTTAGGGTATAAAGAGTTGAAAGAAACAATAACAAGAAGTGGGGTTTCCTTTGAGGGGTATTTCAATAGTGAAGCAGAGTTGGTTTTAGAGAGAGAAATCTTGGTGTTCATGAAGAATTCGAGGAACCCAAATGAGTTCCCAACCAAGAAAGAACTACTGGATGCTGGGAGACTTGACTTAGTGAATGCCATCACCAAGACAGGTGGTTGGCTGGCTTTGGGTTGGGATTCTTCTGATGATGAAAATGATTTGGAGAGCAATGATTTTAATGATCTGAGGGAGTTACATACAAGGGTTGAAAGTTATCAACAAAGACATGAAGCTGCTTCACCCTCTGGTAGACCACTGTAAGATTCTTCTTTTCGAATTTGTAATCCACTAATACAAGTTCTTCATTTGGGGTTGTTTGATAAAAGATTCAATGGTAGACAGAAGAAAATTGGTGTTCATAATTTGATAAAAGATTCAATGGTATATTGAACCTTATTGCAAGCATTAGAAATTGAATGCCATTCCCAATGATTTCTGTTTCTTGAATAAAGATTGATGATATATGTGAAAAATGTAGTGGGTAACAAAATCAAGAACATAGAAATCATTCTTGTTCTAATCAACTGTACATTGTTTCTTTCCTTCAATATCTTCATGTAGAAAATAGAGTCCACAAAGTTGTACTTTCAACTGTTTTAAATGCTTCTGTTTAAAGTTCCACAAATTGGGTTTAAATTGAGTTAAAACAATTCTTTTTGATTAGTGAAATGGAAGCAGATGATGAAGATAAAGGAGTAGAAGGTATACTGAGTAGATTGAAGAAACATAGGAGATTGTCATTTGACCTTTGTATGGAGAAAAACATATATGCTTCAAGTAAAGACAACGGTTGTCTCTCAGATTTTCACATGTCAACTGATGTGGGTGAGTTATTATTGTTAATATTCTGTTAATCGAAGATTTACTGTTCGTATATCGCAATTTGTTTTGGTTTTTGTTCATTTCCAACCCATAAGGCATTGAGTTAGGGGCTCTTTGGTTGGTTTTTCATTAACTCCTGTATTAATAAAGCTGTCTCTGTGGATTATCTGTCTGTATAGATGGAGAAGGTTTTAGAGAGTTTTTCATAGATGGAAGGAGAATGTTTTTTAATTGGGAGGGGCAGGTTTGGGAAAAAAAACCTTGGTTTTCTGCATAAAGCTCCCCCCTAGAAGCTTACTGAATAAGTCATTTTCTATATCATTAAGCAAATACCAAACAGTCATGTATAGCTAACCGAATAAGCTGTTAACAAACAGACCCTTATCTCAATATGGAGATTAAGCTGCATCTTAACCCATGCAGCTGATGTGTATTTTACTGTGTATTAAGCTTCTGCTTATGAACAAATTGAGAAATTTTGGTTTCAGTTTGATGGTTTATGTCTTTTTCTAGTAATGAATTTTGGTGAATATCTCAGGTAAATCAACTGCACAAGGAACTTGGACAATTCCAAGAAGGCACTTCTCAGATTTTCAAGGTTTTTTTTGTGATTTTGTAGCCAATAAAATTTTAAATTACGTCTTTTTCACCAATATGCTTGCCAATATTGGTTGATTTGGTTCAAATTCAGCTGCAGAGATTGATTATGGAAAAGAGGACTCAACGGCTAAAATGCTAGCTATACAGCGTGATTCGCAACTCCAAGAGAGACATCAGGAGATAAACCCAGATCAGATAAGATCTCGACTTCAAGACATGCAACTTGAGCTCTCCTCCGCCCTTCGCTCATTGCGATCCAAAAGTCAGACACTTAACTCAGAGGTCAGTAAACTTCCACCTTTTATCTTCCATAATCATGCCTTTAAGCAGTTGAATTCGATACTATCAACATTGTTCTTTTTCCGACTTCACTTGAAATTACGGTTTTGTATTAAGGAACTTCAGTTTTGTAATGCCCCATAGCTCAAAGCAGCAGACTAGCCCAATAACCTCCAAATGAGATTAGAATCATGGTGGAAGTTATTGGTAGCCCACAACTTTGAACCTATAAGCTTGCAAATCTACTTTTCTATCTACATGGGACGGGTTGTTACATCAGATCTATGTACATCTTATGGCCTGTTTGTTAGCAGCTTAATGGGACACTTAGTTTATTCGCTCAACTATATAGTATTGTTTGGTAGTGGCTTAATGATACAAAATGTGGTTTATTCAGTAAGATTTTACGGAGGAGCTTCATGCAGAAAACCAAGTTTTTTTTCAAACCTGCCCCTCACAGTTAAAAAACATGCTCCTTCCGTCCATGAAAAAACCCTCCCAAACAGAAACCTTCACAATCTATACAGACAGATTAATCCACATTGACAACTTTATCCATACAAGACATAATGGAAAACCAATCAAACAACCCTTACCCTCCCCGCACCCCATCTCAGGTGGGATGTACCGGGTTTGTTTGGTTTGATTTGGTTTTTCTTACTTGTGACCAAACTTTGTTCATCAAATCTTCACCAGGTTCTTGAAAGCAGTTCGAGTGAGTTGCAGCAGCTTTCCGATGCATGGGAATTCCAAGAAAACGAACATATGAAGGCCGAGGATAAGTTGAGATCTATACGCGCAAAACTAGCAGTGTTTGAAGGAAAGATTGCACTATCAGTAATGTATGCTTTTCTCTTTAGTTTATCCATTTGGTTTCAGTGATACAAATCATTCATTCACATAGTCTGTATGGTTTCAGTGATACACAGAAATTAGTTGTGGAGAAGCAAAGGAGAATCGATAGTGCACGTAGAACTTTGCAGCTTCTTCGTACCACCAGCATATTTTGGACTCATTCAGCCTTGGAAGTGATCTTAGTTGGATCCTTTGATGGTTGGACGTCTCAGGTTCTCCCTCTCTTAAATTTTTTGGAATTCTTTTAAAGAATATACAAAATAATTATTCCAAAATATGATATGCATCATCATCCTCATTTTTCAGATGTTACTCTTTGAGGTAGAGATCAAGTCTGCGTACATCATACCCCAGTTGCCAGGACCCACCTGTGGGCTCTGTGTGGGATATATATATATATATATATATATATATATAGAGAGAGAGAGAGAGAGAGAGATAGAGAGGAGGTTTCAAATACAAACCATGCCATTGTTACAAACTATACAAACCAGTCAATTGACATATTTATGGAAATGATGAGTATTTATTCATTATGATCTGGATATTTATTGAAGATGATTAAAGTTCATTAATTATGATCAACGTTTTATATTAGGAAACAATCTATATATTTATGAAACTACATTTCATCAAACCAGATGGACGGTTGAGATTGGTTTGTATAGTTTGTAACTATGTGTTGGTTTGTATAATTACCCACCTCTCTCTCTCTCTCTGAGTATATATGTGTGTGTGTATATGTATATGTATATGTGTGTATATATATATGTATATGTATATGTATATATATAGAGGAGCGATCAAATGCAAACCACCCATATTTGTACAAACCGTGCAAACCACCCTTATCCGTCGATTTTATTGTTTAATTTAATGATTTTGTTTCATGAAATTGTTTCATATAATACTTTTCTAGATGAAGTTATTTCATATATGGCTATGAAATTTTAATGAAATTGTTTCATATATTTCTTTAAAATTTATATTATGAAGATGATAATATTCATGATTAACAGCCTCTACAATAAAAATGATTAATTAACCTCTCATAATTACAAAAAAAATGAAAAATTATGATTAATTGAATGAGGTTTGTACGGTTTGTACAAATAACATGGTTTGCAAAGTAAACCTCCTCTATATAGATATGTATATATATATATATGTATATGTATATGTATATGTATATGTATATGTATATGTATATGTATATGTATATGTATATGTATATGTATATGTATATGTATATGTATATGTATATGTATATGTATATGTATATGTATATGTATATAGGGTTAGGATCAGGAGAAAATTGCAAAAAACTGAACAACTGAGGATTATCTGGTAACCATTCATCTATACAGTTTGCACATGTGCATGCAAGTAATTTGTCCGGTATGCACATGTGCATAACATGCATACATGCATAGAAACCAAGAAACAACTTCAATTACTTGTATGCACATGTGTATATCCTTCAAATGAACGGTTACCAGGGTGTTCTTCGGTTTTTCATTTTTTGGAGGTTTTCCCCCGAACCTCCCTCTATTTCTCTCTATACACAAGAAGAAGAAGCTGTGTTTTGCTATGATGAGGAGGGTAAGAAGGGATCTCCATCCTTGGATCAATCCTAAATTGAAGATCAACACTAATGTGGTGCACTGAAATGCACCAGCTCACTTCCCTAAGCGCAATTCAGGGGTGGGTGTGAGATTAAAAGTGATCAAGGATTCATATTCCTTCTTACGCTTCTCACCTTAACTCCTATTCTCACACTATCCTTCGTCTATATATATATATATATATATATATACACGTATATATAAGCCTGTGATCACTTAATTATGATTTTAAGAAGTTTATATGATGATGATATTGCAGATAAAGATGGAGAAAACAAAGACAGGAATTTTCTCTGCTTCTCTGAAGTTGTATCCAGGAAGATATGAGGTAGGATAGCTTCTTGTTTGGATCACAAAAATAAATCAACAATTGTTTGGATAAATTAGGGTTATTGTTTTGTAGATTAAATTCATCGTTGACGGGATTTGGAGAGTTGATCCGTTGCTCCCGATCATTCACAACAATGGGTACGAGAACAACAGTCTTATTGTCCATGAACGGTCTGCATAGCATAGTATAACAAAGCACAGCTTCTTCTTCTTGTGTACAGGTTTTTCATTCTTTTAACCCACAATCATATACCTTCGATTCATATATTCATTTCACTTTTCTGCTTTCTATGTCTTGAATACGGGGAAAAAGAATTGTGGCTGAACAAAACGCTCAGTAACGCGCAGATATGACATATAACAAAACAGAATTAAGAAACTTGTCAGATATCAAAAACCATCAAAAAGTGATTGGATACGCGACCACGTACCAAACAAACACGAGAATTTAGTACTGAGCTCATGCAAGTAATCGTATAGACTTAAGCATCACGTCATAGAGACATGTCCAACAAATGACGGACATAATTCCCACCGGTTGCTGGGTTATGATAGCACAAGCACAACGGAAATTTAAAAATGTGTAACTCAAATCAAGAACCAATCGAAGCAGCGTAGATGATTTGTTATAAAAGGTACGTTTCATGATGTCTCTAAATCAAACAAGTAACAACAAGCAACATCTTGTCGTCTCCATGGTACCGTGCGAACCTCTCGAATCCTTTCAAGTTATATGTAGAAGAGGAGAAGCCTCTTTTTCAGTTTTGCTAGATAGAGGTGTATACGAATGCCAGTAGTAGGTTACTCAAGCTTGTCTCGAAATAGTAATACCAGGCTCGAACTCGAGCCGGAATGACTTTTTCAATGTAGGGCTTGAGCTCGACAAATTTGGGTTATCATTATACTTGATAAGCTCGTTTATGAGCTCAAATTCGAGATCAATAACTAGTTTATTGGCTCGAGTTTGATATTATATTTTGATTATACGACCTGTAAACATGTTTGACTTGTAGCGTGTATGCTTGAATGGCTCGACTCGGTTTGAAAAATTAATCAAGCCTTTGAATGAGCCGAGCCGAATATTGGTGTTATGAAGTCAAATGATGATATTATATTATGATCACATGAGAAACACTTATGTCGATGATGATGACATCATCTACAATGTCTTTTTCTAATCATAATTTAGTACTTATAATTATCAGATGATTTACTTTTTGGCAATATCGCTAAAAAACAAATCCACCAAATTTGGTCACGAGGGTTTGCAGAAATATCCAGATTTGGTCTCTTCCTGTAACAATCGTTAAATGAGAGACGTTATCGTTTATTTTATCGATTTTTATATCTTTTACCCAGTCAAAATTTATTTTATGATTTTGGTTCTTCTGGTTTTTCCGTTTTACTAAGTTGAAGAGTTTAATTGTTTGATTTCAAAAGGTTTAAAGATTTATTTGTTTAAGAAAATAGTTTAGAGACGAACTGTTTGGTTTGTTTTTTATCAAGTCATGTCTGGATTAATTTGTCTGCATATATTGTGAATGTTTTTGTTCAAGGGTTTTTTTCATATATTGAAAGAACGTGTTTTTTAAGCGGGATGAACAAGTTTGGAAAAAAAACTTGACTTTCTGCAAAAAGTTCCCCCTATAATCTTACTGAATAAGCCACTTTATATATCGCTCTTACTAAACAGTCATGTATAACTTACTGAATAAGCTTTGAGTCTCATCAAACTGCTAACAAACAGACGTTTAATTACTCAAAATGTGATAGTTCGTTGGGTTTTTTTTTTTTTAACTTTTCCTTAAAAAAATGTACAGTCTACCACTTGAAATTAAATATAAAATTGATATTTTAATAATGTATTTAATATTAAATTATTAGAGTCGATGTACCTTGTTTTCTAAAAAAAAAATGTGGACTTGCCTATATTGATTTTGACTTGTAAATGGTGTGGGGCATCAAAAAACCCAAAGTTGACTTGTATTGTATACCACTTGAATCATCATGCACCATATGTTCCAAACTAAATGGTCCAAGAAACCTCACCACTTCAATCATGCAACATACTTCCAAACTTGTTATATATACATATGCTCCAATAAAGGTTTCTCTTTTTCAAAAAGATGATATATACATACATATACATATATATATATATATATATATATATGAATTAGTTTAAATGAGAACACCTTCATTTTATGAAAACGTGAGAACATTTTTTTATCATAGACAATCACATGCGATACTAAATCAGAGACCCGGACAATTTTCGATGCGATCTTGGTTGCGGGCCAAGTCGCCCTTACACAACTAAATCCCCTCACAAGTATTATCACATGTGATAAGGGTGTTGTTAATATGATATTATAATCCATCAAGACCATCACATGTGATGTTAAATCATAGACGCAGGCAACCTTTGGTTCGGCCTAAGTCGTAGAACATGTCGTCTGCACATCACAGGGTCCCCTCACGCGTATTATCACATGTGATAAGGGTGTTCTCGTTCTCTTGTAAAATGGATATGTTCTCGTTTGAACCTCCACCCCTCTCTCTCTCTCTCTCTCTCTCTCTCTCTCTCTATATATATATATATATATATA